ACAACAGGAATCAATCTATTTTTAAATAACCTTAAAGCTTCAATTGCTAGAGACATCCCCATTCACTCTGCATGGTGCAGGAAACTTGAAGAACCAATAAAATATGCAAGTGGAACCTCATGGGTTAAAGATGAGACCAATCTACTCCAGTCAGCTGATCTACTTTGATCACTCCAAGCTTCCATGCCTTAGCCTTGCTCTTCAGATCTTTCTGGATCACAGAGCACCCTCTTCACTTTCAGTAGTTCCCAGGATGAAAATATCCAAGAAATATCCAAGAAAAATTTCTTGTTTGATGAAAAATAATGCTGTTAGGGAGATATGAACAAGCAACAGAAGAGATTTTAGCTTTAGGGGAGAAGACAGCCTGAACTTTAATAATTTGACTACAAAACCTAGGCATGGTGGGGCACACTTGTAATCCTAGCACTCTGGAAGACTGGGGCAGGAGGATCTCATGTTTGAGCCTACACTGGGCAACTTGCAATGTAGTAAGAACATATCTCAAAGAAAATAATATAAAATAAAAGTTTAAAGACAGAGCTCGGTACAAAGGCCTTGGGTTCAAGCCCCAGTACCATCAGAAAAAAAGTCTGGATAAGGGTACCTGAACCCAAGAAGTTGACTAAGATCTGAGGAAAAAAACCTTGACCTGGGCCTATTTCATGCAAGAAGAAAACAGTAACATAGAATCTGACAAAGTGTGCTTTTTATGCTATCAAGAGCTTGGAAAGACTCCATCCCATAGCAATGCTGTGGGAAATACACTTAGTTTGAGAAGAGGAGAAATTCTGATAACACCCTTGCATTTCTTATCCAAGTCTCTCTAGAGAAGTTGCTTAAACTCCAAGTTTTTAGATGCTTCATCTGACACTATGGTGGTGACAAGCAAATGAAAAAGGTCCAGGAAAGATTTACACAATCTTTGACATAGCATAAGAACTCAGAAACTTCATGGTTATCATAAATGAAAATCATGAGTTTGGTAAGCTAAACACCAAACATGAACTAGGAAAATGACGTGGAAGGGTAGACAAAGGATTCTATAGCTCTGAGCAAAGGGCTAGACAAGAACGTCATAGACATCCAAAGTGAGTTTAAGCAGCTAGACCTGAGCCTACCCTACTCATCTATAGGTGGTAACAATCCCCACCTACAACTTCCTTCTCTGCATGAAAGGCGATTCCAAATGCCTTGAGGAAAGCTCATGTCAGACTGTAAGGAGGACCACAAAATAGCATGAAAAGCCTCATCCAGGAGTTTCTTCTCCAGGGAATCACCCTGCCCACGGCTATTCCCTTTAGGACAGAGTCAGAGGATCCAGGGCCAATCTAAACGTCCTCTTTCCCACCATGTTCTCTTTTGCCAGTGACACCTCCCTGCGGCTATCAGTCTGGTGTACACAGTATCTACAGAGGCTAGTTCAAGAGTCCAGCCTCACTAAAACAGCAGTCCTTGACAAGAACCTAGTCATTCTAAGTTTATCATCCCATAGAAAGACTGTACAGACCCAAGATTGTACAGCTCAGGACACTACTGCTCAGGCAGTATATATCTATGGGTGATTGATTTCAAGCTACAAAGCTAATTAGCCTCAGCGTCAGCACTAAAGAGCAGGAGCTGACTCCTACCTGCTTGGCCACACTAGTATGTCATGTAAAGTAAACGTCCAGGGATATTCTTTCGGCCCCTCAAAAAAGAATGTTTTTCATCAACAGGCAAATGGATAAACAAAGAGCAGTATATATTTACAGTACAATATTATTCTGCCTCTAAAAGGAAGGAAATTCTGATACGCACCACAGTAGCCTCTGAGGACACTGTGCTAAGTGAGATGAGCCCATCACAACAGGGCACATATTGTCTGATTTCATTTTTGTGAGATCCCTAGAGCAATCAAACTTGGAGAAATCATGTTAGTTTCTAAGAGGTGGGAGACAGGAGGATGAGTAATTAATGTTGAGTGGGTACGAAGTTTCAGATGGGGAAGATGAAAATGTTCTGGAGATGGGTAATGGTGACAGTTATACAGCTACGTGAATGTTGTCAGTGCCACTGAACTACACTTTAAAATGGCTACAATAGTAAAGTTTACATATATTATATCAATAAAAATATAATAATTGTGTGATCTTCAAAAAATAAAACAGCAGTCCTATGAGTACCCCAAAGAAGGAGGCAGAACAAGGCAGTGTGTTAAGCGACATCACAGAAGCATCACCTGTTACCAAGGCTCCTCCATCCTGGTTTCCTGAGCCTCTGCCTGCCACATGTGAGCAGAGAAAATGTTCTTGCACTAGACATGGGCCATTGAAAGGTAAGGCTCTGAGATGAACTTTCAGGTGAGATATTAATTTGCAGTTCCATATCTGTCCAGAAGCCAAGCGCTGGAAGGGAACCAGATGTAGAATTTTCCAGCTGGGTTCCTCGGGCATGATTCCCCCCAGTAGACCTGTTAGAACCACCTGCAGCCAGTCCCACACTACACAATCCTTACGTGTTTCTGTAATCAGAGGCAGTGCTGCCATTTGTTTTATTTTATTTTATTTTATTTTATTTTTAATGTATTTGGTACAGGGTCTCACTACGCAGCTCAGACTCATCGTGATCCTCCTGTTTTCAGCCTTCCCACCACTGGGATTACGGTCATGTGCCACCACACCTGGTCTCAGTGGCTAGCTGGGCATGCCCAGTAGTAGGGCTGCTGCTGAATGAGGTGCTGAGGATCAAACCCGGGTCCCTGCGCTTGCCTAAGCAAGTGCTGCCATATTTAAATGATTTTTTGGACAAAACAGAATCTCTCAGAGCCTCAGTATCTTCCCCTGTAAATGGAAATAACTTCATTCTACATAGTTGACAGTTAAAATCATTGTGAAAAGTTAAACTGTGATGCTTAACATAAAGGAAAGGCAGCTTACTATCATTTTGTATACGTGCGTGCGTGCATGTATGTGTGCACATGTGCCAAAGCTTCTGTATAGCTTTCAAGCACTGAACAAACACGACAGCATTCCCACTGCTATGGCCTGTGTCTAGGTGTCCCACCAAAGCCTCACACTGTCATGGGGGAGTTTTTCAGAGGTGGTTGGATGCAGTGTGTGATGCTGGAATCAAGGATGTGTGATTATCATGTTGGTCCACTGATTGATTTGTCATAGTTCTGGGAGTGAACAACAGGAAGGTGCTAACTAGCCCCCTGATTGGTTTGGTGTAGCTCTGGGAGTGGACAATGGGAAGCCCTCCCTGGATAATAGGGGGTCCCTACCCTTAGGGTGTGTTCCCTGGGCAGAAAGAGGGCTGCTGTGGCTGCTGACTTTTGGTCACTTGTGGCTTTTGCTGTCTGCCATGAACTGTTTTTCCTCTGTGATGCCCCTTCACTATGCCACTTTGCCTTGGAGCAAGCTGACCAGGGACTGAACCTCTGTAAACTGTGAGCTACAATTAGCCTTTCTTCTTCTAACTTTGGCTGTTGGGTATGTTGTTTCAGCAAGAAGAAAAGTGAGACACACATATGAGTACAAACCCATCAGACAGTAGAAGGGATGCAAGATAGAGAGGTATGTGTCTCCTATAGTGTAGCTCTGGGCTGGCTTAACCATACCAGTGGGGGGCACCAGCAGCTATTCTAGAAGCCCTACACTGGTGTTTCCCACAATTAATTCTAGTTTACATTTCCTCCATCCTCCCTCCTGTTTACTATCTCCGATTTTATTATACACTGTTGACCTGGGCTCTGCTCACTTTGTTCAGTATGTCCAGAACATTCACTCTTTTTCTACCCTGGGCTCAGGAGAGCTTCAAAGAACAAAGGAGCATCTTGTAAGAAGGTTCCTCCAGATGGCCCCCATGTTGGATAATTCCATCTGCCTCTCTATTCCTTTGAACAGGTTGTGCCTCCATAAATTGCAGAGCTGAGGCTTGGTAGTCATGGTAGGTGCCCATTGGGGTTCTTTCTGGAGAGATTCATTCTGCATGGGGCCTAGAATAATAGTTTGGCTGCATATGATGGAAGATTCCAGAATCCTCCCCACATCTTTGTTACTGAACCTAGTGCTTGATCCTTTTACCTTGAACTAATCACTCTACTGCTACTGATTCTCTGATCAGAAGGCAAATTACCGTTGTCTGCACTATTTCTTATATCTGATTGGAGCATAACATTCTCGCTCCACTATCTGCTTCTGGCTGATCAAGTAGTTTTCAGTGTCTCATGGTGTAGACAGTGAGGGCAACCAAAAGGCTGCTTCACGAAACTTAAGTATGTGAGCCATGAGATAAATAGAAGTCCTGGCATTGAGAAGGAGGAAGAATGCCATACTGGTCTTCCATCCCTTTAATGTGTTGAGTGAGCTCCTTCTTGACTTTCACTTTTCCTTCAAAACACTCTTTGTTTATAACCTTGGTAAAAAGAAGAGCCACCTAGAGGCTCAGACTTCTAGGAAACTCTGGGTCTCCCTCTCATCACCTTGGTATAAATTCTGGCTCCCAAGACCTTGGGTTTGACCTTCTTGCCCAGCAGATTAGACTAGAGAAGGGTCTTTATGTTCATGGTATTAAGTCTTAGACAACATTTCTTTCCTCTCCTGGGGATTCCAGGACCCCCAAAACAGTCAGTCTTGCTGTCAATATCAATCCATTCTCAAAGTAATTTAAATAAATTCCCATAAGCCCAGTGGATTTCTAAGGACTTGGGCCATCCTCCTTCCTCCAAACCCTCATCTCTCAGCCTAGGCAAGCCCAGTCTTGTAGATGGGGAGATTGTCCCCAGCCCAACATCCTTCCAAGATGTCAGCTGCTCTCCCTCTCAGCCTCAGAAGGCAAGTGTCCTTATCACCTCACACAGAGTGGCCACTGTTGCAAGGGCTGATGCAAGATTCAGCAGAGGGAAAAGCTACAGGTGTGTTTGTGCAGGGAGGAACATGATTGGTCACCTTAGTACCCTCTCTCCCTCCTGGAAGGTATAAAGACAGGTCCACCACCTGCTCAACCACATCGTCACCATGAACGCTCTTCTGATCCTCGCCCTTGTGGGAGCTGCTGGTGAGTTTTGTGCCTTGCCTTGGGCAGTCCACTCTCTTCTAGAAGCTTTGCCCTTGTTCCCTATCATCACTGCGGTAGCTCCTATCATACTGAGCTCTGATACTTGTTTTACCCTGTCCAGAACCTCTTCTTGCTTTCTTGGGCTCTCAGTAAGCCTCACCTCTGTCCTTTTTCCTGCCTAATTCTTTCCCCATCACTATCCTGGGCTGAGACCAGTGAGGCTGGCAAGGGAGGCCAGGTGGGCAAGGCCCATAACATGAAGTAGTCATCGCACAGCTTGACTCCAACACTTCCACATGGGTCCACCACAGCTGTTCTCAACCTCTCCTAAGGAGCTTGAAAAGGTTGCTCTTTCCAGAGACTCCCTGCTAGAAAGCCAGATATGCTGTCTGGGGTATGACCTGGGCATTGCATATTTAAGCTTCCCAGGTGACTTTAGAAATTCCAGATTTGTATCTAAGGTCAAGGATAGCTATTCTGCTGGCTGGTTCTAGTGTCTCCTTCTGCTGTGCCTAGGTGGACCTATAAGCTGGCATTGTCTCCTCTGACTTCACTGTGTAGATCTGGGTGATGGAAAACCTAGGTACAGCTATGTCCACTCAGCTGAGAAGTTATCCTGGCTAGGCCAAACCATGCTGATCACCTGGGGCTCAAACATCCATGGGGAGCAGAGCAGGGGTGAACCTGAGAGAATGCAGCTCAGAGAGGGGACAGCGTGTTCTTCTGGGCCACCTTCCACCTAAAGCATAGGAGAAGCATTTCTGTGCCCTCGCCCTTGTGCCTGCAGAAAAGATCTCAGCCCCTTCAGGGGCTCAGATATACAACTATGTGTTCGCATGCACAGACACTGGGAGAGCCATAAGCTAGGGTGCACACTGGGGTTGACAGTGTTCCTTGCTTGCCTACGGTCACTGTGCTAATTAAGAAACCACAGTGAGCAGGAAGCCATCACAGGGCTGAGGGATCCACCTTCTAACCTCCTGCTAATTTGCCTTCTCCCTTCCTATCTTCATTCAAGCTGCTTACCCCATTGACGACGATGACAAGATCGTCGGGGGCTACACCTGTTCGGCGAACTCTGTTCCCTACCAGGTGTCCCTGAACAGTGGCTACCACTTCTGTGGCGGCTCACTCATCAACAGCCAGTGGGTGGTGTCTGCGGCTCACTGCTACAAGTCGTAAGTGTGGGGCTCCTGATTGCAGAGTACAAGGATCTGGCAGCTGGTGGGGTTGGAAGGAAGGTGGGAAAGATGACGGAGAAGAGAAGTTGCTGGAAGCAGCTCACATGCCGGAGGAGAGGGTTATACAAGAGCAAGCCTCTCCCACACTGAACAAATCTATTAACCAACAAAATCTATGAGTTAGAATAGCAGGGAGGAATCACCTTGGTGTGGTACAGACTGGTAACGAAAGCAGGCAAGAACTTGGACAAATACCTTTTACTAATTAGCTACACGTGGGCTGGGGGAGGGGGCTGGGACAGCAGCTGAGAGCTATCCCCAGCTGCAGTCCATACTCCATCCCTGCTACACCCCATCTCCTATGTACTGCATCTCCCTGTTCACCACACAGCCTTCCACACTATCTACCTCTGTAGCACAAAGGGCCTAGGTCTTGCCCCAGCACCACCTACCACTTCCACTGCTCCTACAATACTGCCGCATACCCCATCCTGAGCCCCCAGACTTCCCTCTGGACAGAGCATTTGAGTATCCTGGGGTGTCCTGGAATACAGACAGAAAGCCTGTACTGTACCCCTCTTCCAACAGCCGCATCCAAGTGAGACTGGGTGAGCACAACATCAACGTCGTGGAGGGCAACGAGCAGTTCATCACGGCATCCAAGATCATCCGTCACCCCAACTACAACAGCAACACCCTGAACAATGACATCATGCTGATCAAACTCGCCTCGGCCGCATCCCTCAACTCCCGGGTGGCCACTGTGTCTCTGCCCTCCTCCTGTGTGTCTGCTGGCACCAAGTGCCTCATCTCTGGCTGGGGCAACACCCTGAGCTCTGGCGGTGAGTGGGGCCCTTCACACTCCTGCTGCCCTCTGTCCTCACACTTCTCAGAAGCAAGCATGTCTATAACATTGAACTCCTTTGTTTCTAGCCTAAAAGCACATTTCAAGCGCCTACTAAGTTCTGTGATGGCCTCCATAGAGCTTCGAGGCCCTGAGGGACTTTAATGTCCAGAATTAAAATAGGATAAACGCAGGATGTGTTACCCTTACTTCCTGACTGGGGAGCAGCAGTGGTCCTGCTGGGAGCTGAAAGTCATTGTTCCGTTCTGAGGCTCAGATCCTGGGTGTCCTCTCCAGGGGCTCCCTAGGTTGTTGGACACTGGATCTCCCCCTAGCCTTGTCTGACTTGTGTCTCCTCTTTCTCTGGTCATTTCTTGCCTCTCACAGTCAAAAACCCAGACCTGCTGCAGTGCCTGGATGCCCCTGTGCTCAGCCAGTCTGCATGCCAGTCTGCCTACCCCGGAGAGATCACCAGCAACATGTTCTGCGTCGGCTACCTCGAGGGAGGCAAGGACTCTTGCCAGGTGATTGGTGCCCTTCTTGTATCACCCATGTCCTGGGAGCAGGATAAGAGTGGCCCAGGTGGCAAGGGTGGCAGCTCCATGTGGTAACCGTGGAGGTCATGCAGAAGACATCTCCGTAGCAAGGGCAGGAAGTGGGCACCGCGGGGTAGGGATGGAGCCCGCAGAGCAGAGTGTTGAAGTGCGGAGGAGGTGTAGCTCTACTCCCTCTCACCGCCTCTTTGTATGGTCTGTCCCTCCTCCCAGGGTGACTCTGGCGGCCCTGTGGTGTGCAATGGTCAGCTCCAGGGAGTCGTCTCCTGGGGCTATGGCTGCGCTCTGAAGAACAAGCCCGGTGTCTACACCAAGGTGTGCAACTATGTCTCCTGGATTCAGCAGACCATCGCTGCCAACTGAGCCCTCAGCTCATCCCTATACCAATAAAGTGAACCCGTGCTTGTCACTTGTGTCTGCTCTAGCATCATCATTCTGAGAAACACCCTCCAATCTGAAGGCGGATATATCTCTTCTCTTGAGAGCTAAGCAAATCTCCCCCATCCCAAAATACATTCTATGGGGCACTAGATGAGCAGCATTTGAAGAGAAGAAATCTAAACATCAGGACATGGGGGTGAAAGGGTCTGGAGTCAAGAAAAATATGCATCAGCAAAGTAGTTATAAAGAGCTGCCTTGACCTTGACACTCGGATGGGTCCCAAATGATTCCATGTGTGCACACACAGCAGGGGTAGAAAAGCCTTCTTTACCTTTTTTGTCTGCAGGGAAAACTTCTTTGTGCCCAGACCACTCCCAGTCTAGAGAAACCTCAGCACCAATTGCCTGTGTTTCTTCCGAGTCTGCTCAGATATATGGGTTCTTGCTAACACAATTCTACAGAAGTCCTGATAGATAAGGTCTCACTGGCCACTTCCCAGCCATCTGCTAATGTGTCTGCAGGGACCACAGGGACTCCTAGAACCTCCACCCATCACACTCTCAGGAGCCTTTGGCTCATTCCACACAGAATACCAGTGGAATACAGTCCTGTGAGCTCATAGGTATTTCTTACTCACTCACTCTCACTTCTGAAGGACAGATGGAAAGCAGGCCAGCAAAAGACATTGGTTTACCCATGGCCTACGCCCAGCAGATGGCAGAGCTAGGGATTGAGACCCCATTTTCCTGCATGCCCTCTGCCCAGCCTGCTATTCTCTCCAGATGATAAAGAACCCACCAACCCTGGCCTCAGCGTTGCTCCAGCTGGCCATCACCAACATCCCATTCTACTCCCTGAACCTCCTGAGGCGCTCCCCTCGCATTTCCCTGCACACAGAGTGATTGTTCCTGAAGGGCTCCTGACCACTGCCTCACCGCCTGGGTCATGCCTTTCCCAGGGATTTGGAAATGCACGGTTCCTCTTGCTCTGGTCCTGCTCATATTTTGACCGCACATCTCTGTGTATCTCTCCTTTGTGCTCAGAAGTCCTGCTGGCCCACCCAACAGGCTGTGTGTCTCTAGTCTCCTCTCCTGGACACCATAGAGCCATTAGCTTCATGATCCTCCCACCCCTCTCAAGGATCTCTGATACCTCCGTCTCCCATGCTCTGGTCTTACTGGCCTCCATTCTGAGTTTCAGATGTCCACCACTGTCCTGTGCCCTCTCCTGTCATAGGAGGTTCCTCCCAGGCATTCAACTATGAGGACCTGGAGGGCAGATTTTGTCCTACTTGTCCAGTTATCTCCAAGGATTACACAAAACCTGGGATATATGTGCCTAGAGACAGAACAAATAAAGCAGGAAGAAAGAGTAAAGGTAGGGTACTGAGAAAAGAATGAAACTGCGAAGCTTAGTCCCTGAAACTTTGGTGCCACATGCCCTGGAGAACTTGGGAGAAATGCAAAGTGAATCCCACCCCCAGGGCTACTAAGTCAGAAGCACTGGGATGGAGCCCAGGAGTCAGTCATTTGACAAACCATCCAGATCATTCTGTTCCAGGCCATTCTGATCTGTGAATCTCCGAAGGAGACACATCCCCAGGCCAGTATGCTCTGTGGAAAGGACAACAGCTGTCGCTTTTCTAACTGTATCCAGGTACCATGATAAATGCTGCATCCACTTACTTCATGTAGCTCTCAGGGGTAGTATTATTCTCATTCTATCCATAAAAGACTGAGAGAGAGGTTTACTAGCATGGATGCCCAAGACCTCCAAGCTATGAGCAGGGACCTGGTGGAACCCAGGCAGATGGCTCAGGGTGGGCTTGCCGGGCCAAGACTCAAGAGAGGAACTTGGGTCGCAGGTTCAGTTCTGTGTGTTCATCACTGAGAGCTCATGTCAGCCTCCAGATGTCCGTGCATCCCCTGAGAGCAAAATAACTCGAATTACACAGGGCTAAGCTGCGGCTGGAATGTTTCTCTACTCAGTCACCTGGTCCCCAACACACGTCCTGAGGAAGACGCCACTTCTTTGCACCCTACCCACCACCCCGTTGCATTCGCTATTCTTCTCGCCCCCTCAAGTGGCCAGACCTGTATTGCAACGACCTAGGTCTCAGAAAAAGAAAAATACAAACAACAATAAAGAAAGCCTGCCTCCTGCTGGTCAAAATGGGAAATAACCTCAAACTGATTCCTGTCTGGTCTGCACTGCTGTTGGAGAAAAAAGTCCATTGTTTTGGGCCCAGTGTTTAGAGGAGCACAACTGGGGATTGGGGGGCGAACCCCTCTCAGATGCTATGATATCAAGACAGAGTGCTTTTTCCGGTTTGTAGGACTAGTTGGGATACATGTCATCAGGTGCATAATTAAGAGAAAACTCGAGTTATTGTGAGTTATTGATAGGCAAACAGGAATAAACTAAGGAAACACGAAAACAGGCCAGAATAAACTGTGTTGCAATGAAGAAAGGGGATTAAAAGGAGACCTCAGGACCTTCCAACCGATCAACGCAATAGACCTTATCACCCCTAGAACACTGGGAGAGCTGTAGCGAGATCAGTCAGCAGACTGCCGGGGTTTTCTGTCCAGCCGGATACGTCACTAACCAGCTCGTTTATTCCTGCCTGGTTCCCATCCGGAGACAAGCTGTGGATTCCCAAACTTGGCCCTGAGACCCATACAGCGGGCGAATTTTCCCTCTGGTTGTTTATTTAAATACAGGCTAGAGAACTCAATCCTCACCTCAAAGGATCATAGGAATACGTGATTTTTACCTGTTTCTTAAGGCATGGGGGCCCCGCGGAGCAAATTCAAGACCACAAGACAGCTTCTCTTATAAACTGATTTTTATTGGAAAAAATGACAGAAAATTGAACAAGTGTTTATTTCTAGGCGGCAGATCTTCATGGATTATTTAAAATCATATTCTGTTGTTTTTCTTTCCTTTTCAGATGTTATGAATTTAGGTTTGATTGTTAATAGACATCGCAACAGCCCTAAAACAAAAACCACACAGTTATCACTGAGAAGTGTGATTTGTATTTCCAGTGTCTGTCCACTCTACTCATCATTAATAATTACTTATATTAATACTTTATCTTTCCAGTGTTTTATTATGCATAGCCAAGTAAGAAACTTCTTTTTGCCTCTGTTGTTATGCAAAAGATGGCACAAGTATTTCCAATTCCCTGGCTTCCTCTTTTAAAGGAAAGCCTGTATTTTAGAGAGCTAGCAATATAAACCATTATCATGCTTTTTGAAAGCATTGAATGTATTCAACTATGTGAACACAATCAAATATGGCTGTTTATCCATTCCTTCACTGCTAGGTATTGAATGCTGTCCCATCTCATGCTATTCTACATGATGTAGACATTACAAACATTTTTGAATTTGTGTGCAAGAATATTTTACAAGATAAATTCTTCAGGTGAGATTTCTGGATTTGAAAAATGTATTTGTAATATTTATAGTTGTTTCCAAATTGTTCCCCATTAGGTTGTATTACTGTACACTGCTAAGAACAACCAATGTATTGTACAGTATTTATTTCATCCCTAAAGATCCAATAGAATAGTCTTCTATAGTGCAAATTTGTTGATCAAGTGGATGCAAATTATTGTTTCCATGAAGCTTTGCTTTGCATTCTCACTGTGAGAAATTTATCTCCCCTAATCTTAAGCAGCATTTCGATGTCTTTCTCTGAACCATTTGCTGTTGGCCCTTTTCTGTCAGTCTGTTGGATTATCCTTTTCTCATTGATTTCTAAAAGCTCATCATATTTTGGGGGTGATTAGCCCTTATGATAAAGATTCCAAGTATTTCCCCCAGATTTATGTTTTGATTCTGCTTTTATTTGTCCATATCATTGCACCCTCACCATGTACTCAGCTTGTCATTTTTCTTCATCTAGATTGTAACTAGTAGCTTGAAAGGCAGCTGAACGAAGCACCACCTAGGAAAGATGTATTCTGGACTCTCAAGTTCGGTTTAAAATTTACAGTCATCCTGTGCAAGGAAAATAGAATATCTGTCAACAACTTTGAAGGTTTCCATCCCTCTGGGAAGAGAGGGCAAAAGCGGTGGCCATGCTCATGGGGCCTTGTGGTTTTTCTGGAATACTTGCCAGCCTGTCTTTCTATCTGGCCCCTGTAGGAATGTCCCCAACTCCTTTTCCAAAATTTTCATTCCAAGGTCAACAATGAGAAGTCACGGCTGCTGCCAACACAGGCTGCCTTGCACCGTGTACTCGCGACTTTCAGTTTATCTAGATCTGGAACAGCCCTGACTCTCTGTAGATCTCAGTCAGTTCTTTAGAGACCTGGGCCACAGTGGGCTGACCACCTTAGCGGCATGAGAGTGACCGAAGTGATCATGTCTGAGTACTAGAAGTCTTGTTCACCGCTGAAAAGTATGACCTCACAATGGCACATGGCTAGGAGCAGGGCCAGGTTAAACAGGGGCTGCTGCTTCTTGATAGGTTGGAGAGGAAAATTCACACTGCTCAAAGAGCTAAGAACATCCTAAAGAAAAAGCTGGGCTGAGGAGGACGCCCCCAATCTAGTCCATACCCCACCACCACCTCACATAGTGGAGGATGATGTCACCTACCTGTCCTCCAGTTGCCTCAGAGCAACAACTAAGCCGGTCCTTTTGTTGGCCTACAAGAGGCGGGCCCATGGGAGGGGCCCTTTTTGTACAAAGCTGTAACATTGTGGGGACAGGGAGCCACGGTGATTCAATTCTATGGAAAGCCTTTACAAAAACTTCTCACTTGCCCCAGTGCTCTCTATTTTTATTCCAGATCACAGGGTCAGGTATGGTCAGATCTGGGGTGTGCCTGACTCACTCCTGACCACACATCTGCCCAAGGCCATGGGTCACAGCAGGCCCAGATCTGAACTGGACCTATCCAGGCAGTAAGAACACATGCACAAGAAGAATGCCTCAGGGGACCAACAGGTGTAGGGTACAGGCAGAGCCCTTCATCCTTATACCCAGGAAACCATAACAAGTTCTGGAGGAAGGTGCATCGGACATGCCCAGCTCTACAGAAAACTCTAGAAGAAGCCGGCAACACCCTGGTTCTTGACAGACACAGCTGCAGCTTCTAGGATCCTCTCCTGTTACCTAGGCCCACATCCCCCCAAAGGATCTTTAGATAGGAGTGCTTGCATGAAGGGCTTTTTTTATTCTTCTTTTGAGAAAGAATGTAGGTCCCACTTAATGGACTCTGCCTTGCTCTGCGGTTCCCGGAGCCAACACCGAAATGACCACTCGTGTGAGTCCTATAAGGCAGAAGAGGACAGACCTGGTCCCGAGGCCCTCCAGACACCAGCCAGGGCCTCCTCTCTCCACATGTTGAATTTGTTTTTCTCCTCGTTCCATGTCACTGTGTGAACACAGAAGTTTACTTTGGAGATGGCAGCAGACTCACGGTTGTCGGTAAGACATCTTCCAGGTAACTGCCCGGGTCTCTCATGGGGCCAAGGCCCTCCCCAGGGTCTGTTTCAAAGTAGCTGTGTCCTGATGTGTCAACTATGACTATACCTTTGCCTCAGGGACCAGGCTCACAGTTGTAGGTAAGACTTGGGCTTTCTGGGCTGGGTAGGACAAGGATGGACTCTGTCCTGGGAAAAGTAAGAAGGACAGGGCCTCTGGGACCCAGTTGGAAGAGATCCAGGTCTGTTCTAGGTCTCACAGGCAACCCACACTCTCTCCCTTCTCACCTCTTGGATTCCGGGCGTGCTCTGGAATGGCTGGGGGCTTTTGGAGCAGAGCTGTGGCTTTGTGAGAGAAGAGATTCAGGGACCCCGACATTTCCGGGATGCCTGACCCTCTCCAGAACCCCAGCGCGCTCCACAGACAATGGGAGGTTTTGAAGTGGACCTAGGAGGCTGTGTTCTGGAAACACCCTCTATTTTGGGGAGGGGAGCCGGCTCGCTGTGGTAGGTAAGTCTGGGCTGGAGGGCTGACAACAGAGGGAGCTTCCACCCTGGGTGTGTTGGTTAAAGCACATTCGCATCTGGAGGATCTGAATTCTTACCTTGGTGTAGCAAGAAGGGAAAAGCCTCCATTCCTAGGACTTCATGAGCTGCCTGTGTGAAGCCTGGCATCCCACCCAGAGGAGGGAAACTCAGCTAGCAAAGACTACTCACTCTGGTCCCCTGGGAGCAGCCTGTCCTGGCCGTGGTAGATGGGAAGTTAATTCCTGGACCTTCGTGCTTCCAACTGCCCAGCTGCCTGCTCTGCCCCTCTGCTTCCCAGAGATAAAATCCTAGTAGGAATGGGAGGAGAAAGGGGGAAGCAGGGAGGAAGGAATAGAAGGTACAGAAGGCAGTTTTCCTGCCAGGCTTTGGTGTTGTGTGACTAACGAAAAGCTCACGTTCGGCAGTGGAACCAAGCTGTCTGTCTTGGGTAGGTGAAAGGTGTCTTTTGGCCTGGGACCCTGGCAGGTTGGGGTCACAGGAGGCATCTTTGGGAAGGGTAGGGACCCAGGACAAAGCCAAGGCTGCAGCTCAGAGAATGAGGGAAGGATGGTGGAGTTACTCCAGAGCCAGCTCTGGGGAAGGAAGGAAGGGCCTCAGCAGCCCAGGGGGTTTGCCACCCTTGTGCTGTACTGTGGGGCAATCAGGCACAGCACTTTGGAGAGGGGACTCGACTCTCTGTCTTAGGTAAGTCGGGGGACTGGGGCAGTGGGGCCACTATCCTCTAAAAAGGACTCAACCACATTTTAATTTATTACTTGTGTGGGTTCCGAGCATCTGGGTCTGTCTCTCCTTAGGCTAGACCAGATCAGTTCCTCTAATTCTCCTCCGAGACTTCCTCTCATAACCTATGTACGTCCTTGCTTGGCTTCTCCTGCCTTCTTATGTGCTTGGGTAGATCTGCCCTTCTTACACCCCTTTCTGCTGTGCCTCTCAGCCCACAGCGTGTTGAAGCATTTTCCCAATAGAATCGCTTTACTCCAGAGCTAGGAGCGCAAGCAGAGAGAAGCAGGCGTGCAGATTGGGAACTAGGGCTGGGCCTCTGCCTGGAGGCCCCAAGTGGGTTTTACCACGGCCGCTTTCTGCTGTGTTCCTATAATTCACCACTCTATTTTGGAACAGGCACCAGGCTCACCGTGTCAGGTACGGGGCTCTGCTCTCGAGGGCAGGTGACAGTGTTTGATGGGAGTGATCTGAGTGGGGCTCTGGGTACGAGGTTGTGCAGGGCACCCTCGCCTACCTTCCTTTCCCTCGGCTGGTGGACCTGCCCTGCTCGCTCTCCTGGTTGCCTGCAGCTGCCGCTCCAGAGCTGCATCTTCATCTTCGGGGCTTTGTGGCTTGGCTGCTCTTCTGTGATTGCTGTCTGGGGCTCCCTCGTCATTCCTTGTTGAGTAGATATGTTGCTTTCCTTTCTCTTTTTAATCTTCTCTATTTTTCCCTCTCATTTTCACTCCATTTCTGTGTGGTTGCTGACCCTGTCTTGGTGAAGAGCTGCCTTCTCGTTAAAGTCCTCCCTCCGGCACAGAACTCTGATGTCACCTTCATCTTCCCCCTTCTCTCTGTCTCTGTGAGACTCTGAAGAGCTACGTTTGTCTTCCTGGGGTGATTTAAAGAAATGGGAGGCAGTGAGGAGAGATTTGGTGAGATCAGGGTATCTTCAGGGTTGCTTCTGAGACCGAGGCCACACGTCCAGGTCACAGGATCATAGGGGCTTCCTGGGGAGCCTCTGGGGTGGACTCTGCTTGGGAGGTGTCTGGGAGACAGGTCTGAAAAACTAGCAATGGGAAGCACACAGCACCTGAGCAACAGCCAGGTATAAAGAAGAGAAAATAAATAAGAGACCCTAGGTTCTTAAGCGTTAAGATCTATGCTGGAATAACAGAGTGAGGCACCAATATGAAGCCTGAATAGAACCACTGCCATGCTTGGGAGGAAGCAGATGGGTAGGTGGAGTGGGCTTGGGAAGGGATGGTGGGAGATGGAGACACAGCTGGAGGAATGGGACCCCTAGATCCTACCAGGACTGGGGAATGGGGCAGATGTTGTCCTGCAGGTGAGGCCGCACGGCAAGGAGTTTCGTGGAAAGTAGTCACTGGATTCAAAGGTCTGAGCTCAAGAGACCAGGGCTGGGCCTGGGGAGGGGTGGAGGTAGGGCTCATGAGATTGGAAACGTGATTTAAACTGCCTCAGTGTCTAAGGCACGTAAAGTGGAATGCACTCACAGTGCACACAAATCTGTTGTAAAGGGCTCCACTTCACACAATGACTTCCACTCCTGTCCTTTATCACTACTCTGTCAGGCTTTGCCTTTTCCTGTACTTACATCTCTGTTTGCCTGCAAATCATTTCTCCATTTTGGAAATAATAGAGACATCTGGACTTGGCCCCATGCTACACCCAAAGCCCGCCTTATGCTCAGAGCCACTCCAAGAGGGCAGTAAACTCTGGTGCAAGGAAAGTGCCTGAATGATGGCTATGGCCTTCCCACTCCTCAGCAATCTTCAGATGAGGGCATTTTCTCCAGTAATGTCCCAAATTCTTCCCCTCCCATCTGCCAAGCATGGGAAAGGGCCAAGGGCTTTTTAGTGTGAACCCTTTGCCAAAATGACATTGGGCTTTGGGTTCTCTTTATTGCATTAATTACGTTTTGACTACTTTAAAGCTTGGCTAGGGGTCCAAAGCTGATTAAAGAGGCTTGGGAGCAGTGGAAAGAAGGAAAGGATTCAGCCATGGCAGCCATCCTGGCCCCTGGGTAGGAGTGAAGCATCAGATAGTACATCAGCCACAGGCGTGCTGGCTCCTCAAAGCAGGTGACATATGAAAAAGTAAAATTGAGCATGGTAGCTAGAAAAGAACGTACAATCATAGTAATGGAAAAGTGTCTCTTCTAGGCAAGAAAAGCCAGTTCTAGTATGTGCAGGACTCAGACTATCACTTGGCCATAAAAAGGAAAATGATAATCAGAAAAAATAAAATCAGCTTAGTTCCTATGATCACACTGGTGCAAATTCTTCTGTCACAAGACTAAGCTCACTCAACTTTACTGTGACCACTTCACTCTAAAAGACTAGACAACCATGCCCCAAGCAAGACTTTGAGTGAGAAAGAGAGAGATACTGTCTTTTGATAGATAATCAAACAAGACTGAGAGTATGAGATATTGCAAAGAAAGGCAAAAGAAATAAAGACAGATGTCATCCAAAGGAGCTGGGAAAGATGGGAGATGGTGTGAGCCCATGGGATGACTCCAAAGAAAGTGGCAAAGCAGAGGGAGAAAACAGAGAAGAAAACTATGACCCCACACTGTACGGGATGTGCAGTGACCTGAAACAGCATCTTCTGTCAAATTTTAGCCAAGCAGCCTGAGCTACAGAAGCCATCCTGGCCCCTTGATCCCCTTTGTTCTAACCCTTGATCCCTTTCTAGCCCTCATACATACACATAGCCCCTTCCACCCCCTGCCAGCTCTGAGAGCAGCCCTGCTCCCAACCCCTCTTCACTCTGCAGAAAACCTGAACAGGGTGAGCCCACCCAGAGTGGCCGTGTTTGAGCCATCAGAGGCAGAGATTGGCCAGAAAAAGAAGGCCACGCTCGTGTGCCTGGCCACGGGCTTCTACCCCGACCACGTGGAGCTGAGCTGGTGGGTGAATGATAAGGAGACCCGCAGCGGGGTGAGCACGGACCCTCAGCCCTACAGGGAGTTTCCTGACAACGAAAACTCCAGCTACTGCCTCAGCAGCCGCCTGAGGGTCTCGGCCGCCTTCTGGCACAACCCCCGCAACCACTTCCGCTGCCAAGTCCAGTTCTATGGGCTCACAAAAGACGACCCCTGGGACCAGACGGACCGGGCCAAACCTGTCACCCAGAACGTCAGTGCTGAAGTTTGGGGCCGAGCAGGTGAGAGGGGCTGGAGAGGCCAGGGAGGAGCCTGAACAAGATGAGTACCAGAGGGAGGAGGGAGGTTCAGCTAGAAATGCTAGACAGGAAAGAGAAAAGGGAGAGGGGAATAAGGCTCATCCTGAAGATGAGCTGGATGCCTCCCGCTAATTCCTCTGCAAAAACCTCACCGCACAGCTTTGAGCCTGGAACCTCTTTCCATGAGACCAGTGTAGCTCAGTATCACAGCAGCCCCCTGGCCCCTCTGGTGCTGTATTTGCCAATGTGTCAAAGGTGATGGGCTGATGTTGGCACGATCCAGAAACACGTTGCCCTGGGCCTGCCGCTGTGTGCTAACCCCGAGGCCGACTTAATTTTCAAGTTAATTAAGCAGGTGAGACCTCCCACCAATTTTTCTCCCTTCTTTTCTTCCAGACTGTGGCTTCACCTCTGGTAAGTGAGTCTTTCTTCTCCTCACCCTTGTGGATTGCACTGTGGAGCCAGGGCACAGGGTTGATCAAGGCCAGCGCCCTCTGCTCACGGCACCAACCTGCTCGCCCTTCCTTCCAACAGTGTCCTATCAACAAGGGGTCCTGTCTGCCACCATCCTCTATGAGATCCTGGTGGGCAAGGCCACCCTGTATGCTGTGCTTGTCAGTGCCCTCGTGTTGATGGCCATGGTAAGAGAAGAACAGGGGGGACCAAGAGGTTGTAGGTGACATGCAACACCCAAATACTCAAAGCCCAGAGTAGTGAGATGTTGTCAAGACCAGAAAAGGGCAGGAGTACAGGAGGGAGTTTAACTCACATGGCTTACAGATTTCCCCTGGGGGGAATGACAGCAGAAGGGCTGTGGTGGGGACGAAACCTCTGATCTCCCAAATTCCCCAGGCATATTATTAAGAGCTCTATTGTTTGTGCACTCAACAGGCTGTGCATCTTCCATCCTACCAAGAGCCCATGGCTCTTGGCTGCCTCACACCCTTCTCTTCTCTGCAGGTCAAGAAAAAGCATGCCTGAAGACCCCCTTGGCTGAAGAAGCAGAACCTTCCCACTCATTATGGTGCCCACACGGGTTCCCCTGCTGCATGTCTTCTGAACAGCTGCTTTCATTTCTCTATGCATCCTAATCCTGCTCCAACAGCTGCGTACACCTGCCTGCATGTTCATGGCTGAAATAGCCCTGTCCCGGGGAACCCTAGATGGCGGACTCAATAAACATGTCCTGGTCACTGACTTGTGAATGTCTATGTATCACTTCTTTTCTGCTCCCCAGCTCCCTGTGATGTGGCTTTTCACTCCAGATAGAAACAGGAAGTATTCAAAGTCAATCCAGTCCCCTCAGGTAAGAAAATTCTAGGGAAGGGCCCACCTTGGTAACCACAGGAGAGGCAAATTAACACCAGGGATGCAAATTACATGTAGAAGGCAGAGATAGGAAGGTAGAGAAGGTAGACATGTATTTCTAGAAAGTCCAAAAATATAGTAGTTCTGAGAACATTTTTGGTTTGCCCTGCGTAGAAGTTGTTCTGAGGCCAGCTGAGCTGCATGAGCATGGGACTCTGCCAACTAGTCCTGTCCCCGTGACTCACAGGCCCTGGTTTCCCCTTTTGCATGCCCCTTCCCCTTTACCTTCTTCCTGAGCCCAAGAGCCTCAACCTGCCTACCAAGTAGCTTTCCCAATGGAAAAGAAGAGAATGTACCGGCTTGCAAACTTACAGTGGAAGATGTGCCCTGCAGTCTAAATTACAAATCCATTGGTAGGTTTCTGTCTAGTGAATTCCCAGGGTGTGGAAGTGGCTCTGACAGCTCCCGGAGGGACAGGAAGTGAAGTTTCTTGGACTGGGAACCAGGGTTATCTCTACTACAAATGCTTCAGAAGCTCTCTGTCGTCTCATTGTCACAATGGTAACGCAACCCCAGGCGTAGAGATCTGATGATGAGCTCCACCGTGCTTGCTCTGTTTCTCTCACCCCTAAACCCCAGGGCTTCTTGCTTGCAAGCCATTTTCCGCTTCTACATTGATCCCCTTTATCCAGAATAACACAGTATTCTCTGCTCACCACCTGCTACTTGCCTTCAGCTCCCGACTTCCTGAAAAGCCTTCTGACTCTTTACTGCCCTCACTTCTAACTCCTCTGAAAGTGTATTAAACCCAAAAATAAAGATAAAATGGTCTTGTGTCCACCTCCTTCAGGACACTCCTCACAGCTGATGGAAACCACCCCTTCCCTTGTCCTGCCCCACTGGGGGACTCTAAGTTCCTTAATAATAAGGAGGTGGCTATGACAGTACCCCTAGAGTGTTGCGTGGTATCTTGGTTCAGGGTAGGCATCAGCCAGGTTATATTTGACTAAGTGACCCGAGTCACAAGCAGTCATCACCATCAGGCCTTGCAGAAATAGCCCTCGACTGCATGATTGATTAGCCAACATTTGGCTCTAGCCGTTCAAGGTCAGTGAAGACTCGGGACACAGGAGAACCTGTACTCTAACAACATCTAACTCAGTTGTGCTCCAAATTTTCTGATCAAGAAGATTATGGAGCCACAGAGAAATGTGTTCGAGGATCTAAAGTGAGCCTGGGGAGAGCCACATGGAGAAAAAACATTTTCTCAAGCTTTCACAAAGAGCAAATTGGTCAAGCAATGGCCGTGACTCATCCTCATGTCAGACACTGACAAAAGGATGTACAAAAGGCGGTACAGGGCTACAGGATAAATCCTGAGAGTACTCGGCTCACCTTATCAGATACAAAAGTTACATTTCTTGTTATATAGGTCTTGCTATATCTTGGTCTTAACCATCCAGCAGAAAAGTATAAAAACGAGGTATATAAAGTAAAGCCATATTAATACAATGAGCTGTAAAAGGCTCAAGTCAATAACTTCTGAGGATAACCCACTAATATTATAGACTGCTAGACAGTGTTAGATGTTTAGTTGAATTCAAACACTTATAGTATTTAGATGCCAATAGAATATTCACCTCTGAAAGGACAAAAAAATAAATAAATAAATAAAACTTAAAAAAATGGAAACGGAAAGAAGCAGTCAGTGCTCTAATTAGCTTCGTCTCCTTTTTTTCAATTGTTTGTACTTTTTCTTTTCTTAATTTCTTATACATTGCTCCAGTTTTTTCTTCTTCCAATTTTATGTGTATATATCTGGTAATATGAATAGCTGGTTGTAAGACAATACCATGTATTACAACAAACACTGTGAAATTCATATTACTTTGCTAAGTAAAATTCTGTATGAGTTGTCAAAAAAAATAAATAAAGTGAAAAAAAAAAGAAATAGCCCTCGATACATCTACTTATACACACACACACACACACACACACACACAATCACACACGTGCACACCCTTACTCAGTCATTAAGCATATTGCAGAGTGATGCTGTTGACCTGCAGGAAAGGAAAGGCATCCCAGCCCCAGTCCCCAAGCAGCTTACTTGAGCGTAACAGGATTAAGTCATGAACCCAAAGGGCTGCAACAGAATGCAATGCTTTGAGGTAGCCATGAGAGCCAGCCTACTAAAGTGCAGTCAGGAAATAGCTCTTCATCTCTAACTGAGATAAGCAGGGAAATGTCTTAGGAGGTGGCAAACCCTTCAAAAATAAATTACTGGTCTCAATTATCGCTGTAGAATGTGGTTGTGCCAGTCAGGGGCATGAACAAAAGCCCCATAACATAATCAGATCTTTTGAGGAAGATTCAGCTGGCTGAAACACTGTGTGGTAGGAATCTTCAAAACTAAGGCCACAAGGGCAGGTTGGGGTTGCTCCTTACTCCGAGCACCAGCTCATGGCGTGACTAGAAGCGCATCTTTACTAAGCACTTCTGGCATGATTGAACGAGAAAGTGGTGGGAATTAATGGTGTTTTCTACGGTGTCGGTCCTCATGCCCTCAAATTTTACTTCCTGCTCTCTGGACTCTTCTTTTAAAGCTGTCCTGCTGCCCCTTGCTCCTCCCACTGTCATAGCTATAAAGGCCAGTCTGAGTGGGTAGGTTCAGTGAGCCTGGGACGGCAGTCCCAGCGACATAGATGTTCTCCTCGAGGTAGCCCCTGTTGGGGGGGTTCCCCTACCTTCCCCGCCAGCCCCACTATATTTCCCAAGCTCCTCCCCACTTCAATTTCCCCTAGAGTTGTGTTTCCCCAGCCCCACTCAGGGAGTGTCATCTCTGCCACCTGCGCTTCTTAGCCCTGCCCACGTTTGGGGGAGGGAGCCCAGCAGGGAGGAAATGTTTTAGTATCACAGTATAACATTGTGAGGACTGGGGGGGGCACAATGATTCAAGTAGAGGAGGTGCTTTTACAAAAAGCCCTGTCCCACAGAATATTCCTTTCCAGCCTAAGGAATAAGAATGCAGCTGCTAGACGGCGCGAGGTCTGTGGGGCTGGTTCCTGCCCAGGCTGCACCTTGCAGAGGTCTGTATTCGGTGGCTTTCTGGGCACCTCTGCCCTAGTCAGCTGCCCAGGAATGTGATGGCCAAGGTTGCAAAGTGAAATTGGCCTTCAGCACTTTCATTAAACTTGTCCTTGACACCGCACTTGTGCACATATCCCATATTAAAAGTTCCTTAAAAGAAAACAAAAACTTTGTGGGAAAGATAACCTACCTTTCCGATAAAGAAGCTGAGGGCAGAGAGGTTACAGGTTATGTGATAACAAGAAACAGAGTCTAACCTGCCCAACTTCCCCACTCCAGGCTGCCCATCACCTCCCATGCACTTTGGATTTCAAATTCACTGCCTCATCCTTAGGCCAAGTTGATTCTCTTCTTCAAATTCTGAAAATTGGGATGATCTCCTACAATGTCCAGACTGCTGCACTGATTCTGAAAGTGGGAAGAGACTGACCCAGGAAGCAGAAGGGGTGCACCCTTTCTGAGCTGCAGGAAGTGGGGAAGGAGGAGGAATTCTAGGCAGCCCCTTCCTGCTGTGTACTATGCTGGGCAGACCTTTGGGTCAGGGACCCGGCTCACCGTGTTAGGTAAGAGAGCAGCCCCAGCCCCCAGTGGGAAGGAGGATGGGCTGCTCAGGCTGGACCCCTGAACTCGGGCTTTGGGGTAGAGGTTGCTCCTTGGCCCTCTATGAGGGAGGCTAGAGTTTGCATTGCGCTCTGGGGGGCTGTGTGAACACAGGGCAGCTGTTCTTTGGGGATGGCTCCAAGCTGACCGTGCTAGGTAAGGAGGCCTGCAGGTGGTGTGGGACCCACAGAGGTGGGCAAAGTGCCTTTGGAGCTGTGCTGAGGCTCTCTGGTCAGCACCTGAGCCGGGGGACCCCTGGTCCCCAAGCTGGGCAAGAGGGAGCTCTCAGGGTTGGCAGGGAATGGATCCAGTCTGGGATAGTAAGAGAGGGCAGTGCAGGTTTTTTGTCCTGGACCAGGATGCTGTGAGCACAGACACACAGTATTTCGGCCCAGGGACGCGGCTGACCGTTCTGGGTAAGCGGGGCTCACAGAGGAGCTGGGAGTAGCGGGATTGGAGTTGCTCGGGGACCCCCAGGGTCGGCCTGGCCTGGCCTGTTTTTGTGCTGCTTCAGTGTTCTGTGGGCCAAAACACTCAGTACTTCGGTGCAGGCACCCGGCTGTCAGTTATAGGTAAGCGGGGACAGGGCGGGTTTTTGAGCAGAGCTGGGGGGCCGTGAACCAAGAGACCCAGTACTTCGGAACAGGCACGCGGCTCACGGTGCTAGGTGAGCGCGGGGGTCGCGGCGGGAGCTGGCAGCGCGGGTCTGATTTTTGAGGGGGAACCGCAGGCTGTGCTCCGCAGCCTCCACCCAGATTTTCGGGGCTGGCAGCCGGCTGACCGTGCTGGGTAAGTGTCCGCGACACCGAACGCCGGGCGCTGGCCAGAAGGGAGGGCAGCCGGGAGGTCCAGGCCTCCGAGCCCGGGTTTGCAGGCGGGGCTGCACCTCCGTGCTCCTACGAGCAGCATTTCGGCCCCGGCACCAAGCTCACGGTCCTAGGTGAGACTCGCGCCGCCCACCTTTCCAGCGCCAGGCCCTCGGTCCCTGGAAGGGTTGAGAGTGGGTGGGTGGGCCCGGGGGCTGGGGTCCGGGGGAGAGCAGAGGATCACTGCGGGCGCAGCTCCCCTCACCTTCGGTGGCGGGCGCCTCCTGCCTCCGGGAGAGGAAGCCCAGAGGGGATGAAAGCCAGTTAGGGACGCGGTGAGCGGTGGAGAAGATTTACGGTGCCAGGACTCCGGCAGCCGCTAGAACGGGTGGGTGGGGAGGCAGAAGAGAGAACTTGGTTTGGGAAGAAAAGTTTGTGGGGTGGGGGTGGGGGGCTACGTGTTTCTAGAAGAAAAAAGAAATGCTGGATGGGTGGGAATTGGGGGGCTGAGCAGGAAAAGGGTGAAACAAAAGAGATGACAGATAAGTGAGTCCCCAGAGAAGGCCGGGCTTTATGGACTTACTGTTCAGCAGTGTGATTTAAAATTAGATTTAATCCCTCCACCTCTTTTCTCAGAAGCTGGGGACCCCTCAAGATGGGGGTGGGGGTTCAGCATCAACACTGTCCTTGGTTGGTCACCAGGGGTGCTGGCCAAGGGCAGGGCAACCTGAGCCCCGCATTTGCTTCCGGATGGGCTACAATCTCCGTCCTTTGCGCCAAGTGTTCTAGGTTAAACGCCCCACACATTTCAGGGAATTCATTTATTACAAACAAGTGCTGAAATGCAGATGCTTTGCCTGGAAAGTGAGATGAATTATCAGAAAGAATATTAGCTTTAGGGCTGGAAAGGACTTTAAATGTCACTTAGCAAACAAAGCCCTGAAATCAGAGAAGAAACAACTCCCTCTGAGTGGATTAACCAGAGTCTTTTGATAACCACAACAATAGACACCCTGTGTAGTTGGATGTCCTGAAGCAGGATGCCCTGGGGCTCAGCACACAAAGGCGATCAGAGGGAATTCCTGTGCTCCTGAAGCTGGGGTGGAGAAAGAAGAGACCTCAGCACCAGAGGAGGCTGGGTTCTCTAGTGCTGCAGAGTTCTCAACCAAGTTAACGTATGAAACTCAGTTTCTACGGAACTTAGATGTGCTGTGGAAGGCTATGTATGTGTCAGAGGTGGGCTGGGAGAGGAAAAAGAAACTTGACAATTTTGCCTGAGGCAAAATGCAATCTGTAAACCCGCACGGACAGGCAGAGAGCTCACCAGGAGCACACGCACGACCACACAAGCAAGCCCGCAGGAGTACGGCTGCTCTGACCGAAGCCTCACTGCGGAGTTGGGCACACAGTGCTTTGGGGTGTGCTGAAGTTTGTCATGCTCAAGGCATCAGTCAGTACCCTAGGGAATGAACAGCACACAGGGCTCATGGCATATCTTTTATTTTTACAAGAGGGATTGTTTGCTGAAGGAAGGGGGTCAGAGACATTCCCTCCTCAGGGACCTTGGAGGGCAGGGCAAGTCCTGAGGTCTTTGACACAAGCTGAGGACAGGAAGGTTGATGGAGCCAAGTGCTGCAGATAGAAGTGGAGATAGTGCATTTAAGCAGCCCAGTGAATTCTCTAGGTAGGACAAGATGGAGACGGGGCCAGCTAGCTGCAAAGTGTGCAGGTCCAGCTCAAAATGAAACTGCAGGAGCCTGTGTAGAAAAGTTATTTAGCATTTCAAATGGCAGTTGCAGAAGATGTGAGCAGGCCCCAGGCCCCCTCATCCTCCCCACATGGTCCTGTGCAGCAGGTGGGGGCCACATGCCCTGACATGGGTCTGGGAAGCTGTCATTTACTGTGGAAATGAAAAGCAGGTCAACATAGATTTTCTCCACAGTATAGGAGGCTAGGAATAGGTTTTCATACAAAAGGTATTTTAACAGAATTTCTCAGAAAAAAATAATATCAATGAAAAGCAAAGAACAAAGTGGAAACTCAAGCGGTACTTAGAGGCAGAGGCATTGATAGGATGGCTTAATGTACTACTAAGTGTCAGAAAACCCCACACCCTCATGAATGTCCTGTACTCCCTCAGGCTCTCCTCATAGGACTGCGTGAAAATAGACCCCATGGGTATTGGCATCCAAAGAAAGTCTCCCCAAAGTGCCCCCCTTTTCCCAAATTCTCCTTTATTCCTCAAACCTTTACCTTTAGGTATGGGATGGATCATTCTAAATATTCCTTTTGCTGAATTCTTTAAACCTGCTCTGGAAAGCTAGTTTGTGTTTCTCGTTTCACAAGCAGAAAGAAGACGAACTGGTAAAGAGACATTAGAAGGCTTGTCTAGAAGTCAGTCAAATCCTAGGCAAAGTTAGTCCTAAGACTCGGAGCGTATTGTTGAGGCTTCCATCCGGGGCTCCATTTGAATAGCTACTGCCTACAATGCTGAAGCAGAAATGGATAAGCTTTCATTACTAGATGAGAAACCAGACATCTGCGAAAGATGCTGCTCAGAACTGTAGACAGCACCATTTTAATGCCAGCTTAGGGGGATGGATGGCGAGATGGTAGACAGTTCCTGTCCACAAGGTAAACACACAGACAAGAACAGGGGAGATTACCAGAGAGGAAAGGACAGTAGCTCTTTCCAGTCTGCTGAGGGCAGCCCTGTTCCCAACCCCTCTTTACTCTGCAGAAAACCTGAACAGGGTGAGCCCACCCAGAGTGGCTGTGTTTGAGCCATCAGAAGCAGAGATTGGCCAGAAAAAGAAGGCCACGCTCGTGTGCCTGGCCACGGGCTTCTACCCCGACCATGTGGAGCTGAGCTGGTGGGTGAATGATAAGGAGACCCGCAGCGGGGTGAGCACGGACCCTCAGCCCTACAAGGAGTTTCCTGACAACGAAAACTCCAGCTACTGCCTCAGCAGCCGCCTGAGGGTCTCCGCCGCCTTCTGGCACAACCCCCGCAACCACTTCCGCTGCCAAGTCCAGTTCTATGGGCTCACAAAAGACGACCCCTGGGACCAGACGGACCGGGCCAAACCTGTCACCCAGAACGTCAGTGCTGAAGTTTGGGGCCGAGCAGGTGAGCGGGGCTGGAGGGGCCAGGGAGGAGCCTGAACAAGATGAGCACCAGAGGGAGGAGGGAGGTCAGACAGAAATCAGGAATAAGCTTAAGAAGAAAGCCAGACTGTGTGAGAAGGGACCAGAGTGGAATTAAACCATAGCATGGGCTTCCTCCCAGACAGCACAGCAGTAGGTAGAGAGCTTTCTAGCCTTTGCCTTCCACAGAGCCCGAGCCATCTCTGCTGTGCTCATAGGGCCTCTGTGACTGGTCTCGGGGCCTAGCACCTTTTTGCTGTGTCTCTCATCACACTCACTGGTCCTGGATGAGTTGACAAAGACAATGAGAGTGTCCCCACCCCAGATCAGCCTGAGGGAGATAGCTCCAGGGCTATCCCAGGAGACACTTGGCACCGTCTGGTGTGTGTATGTTTGTGCCTGTGATTCTGACTGCGATCTAAGGCTCGTTGTTCCCCAGAAGCACCATTTTCTCACCTATTTTTGTCTCCCTCTTTTCTTTTAGACTGTGGCTTCACTTCCGGTAAGTAATGCTCTCCATTTCCTTCTATCTCCCATGGTCTTGCCTCTGTGACTAGAACAGAGAAACTCTATGGGCACTGGGGGAGCCAGAGGCCAGAGCTACTTATGCCCAGGTTCCTATTGCTCTCCTTCTGTCCAACAGTGTCCTATCAGCAAGGTGTCCTGTCTGCCACTCTCCTCTATGAGATCCTGCTGGGCAAGGCCTCCCTGTACGCCGTGCTTGTCAGTGCCCTTGTGCTGATGGCCATGGTAAGGAGGGAGAGGCGGGGAGGTGATGGGAGGGAGAGGGTGGCATGCTCTAGGTGGGATGTATGGGAGTCCACAGCCAGCCTCAACCCTGATGTCTCCTGCTAGCCCAATGAGACCATGGACCACAGCTGGGGAGAAAGTACAGGGATCGTTACAGAAGGCACCACTGATGGATGGCGAAAACCAATGAGCCCCCTTCAAAATCAGACCCTAGTATCTGCCCCCTGTCCCACCTCCATCACCCCACAGGCCCTGAGAACACTGATAATGTTCTCTCTTTTGCAGGTCAAACAAAAGAAGTCTTGAGGCCAGCTCTCACAGCGTATCCTGAATGCTTCATCCTGAACCTTCCCATCCCTACTCGTCTGTGTTCCTAAAGAGCTTGTCTCTTTCTACCCCTCCCTACATGGGTGTCTTTCCTTCCTGACTACTTCCCTGCAGACTGAATACTGGCCCTGGATCAGAAACAGATTAAACCAATAAACATGGCAAACTTGTGTCTCAGTGGTGTCTTTGGGGTCCAGACTTGGCTGACACCCTGTCACCTGAGGAAGTCACTGTCCCTTCAGACATAGGGAGTGCTGGAGCTCCTTCCTCTCTGACCTGCGCTGCTCCTTCCTGACTCCAAAAGCCATGGTCCCTAGTAGGCATGCCAGTGTGGAGCTAACCTGGAGGATAATGGCTGGGCTCTAGAAAATCAGCAAGGCCGGGACACAGACGGGATTATAGTGAAGCATAACATGTTAAGCACAGCACAGAGCCCAGGCAGACCCAAGGGTTCCAACTCCTAATGACTTGTGAATTTATTCATGTGTCATTTGTCACGCCTTTAGGTTTTTATCAGCATCTGTCCTTGACATCTCCAACTTACGTTGTTTCAGGATTTGAGTTTAAGATTTATGGTGTTTTTCATGTCTGGGTTGGGATCTTAGAAAAAAGCACAGCTGTTTTCTCTTAGTTCAATGAGAAGAAAAATTTATACTAATAGTGTTTAGACAAGATACCATGTCTGTATCTTGTACTCTGAATAACTACTACGAAGACAACAATATGCAATGTATTAAGTATAGTAACTGTCCTTCTAACCTGTTTTGAAACTGTCTCATTGCTATTTCTTTCTCAATAAAATTAATAAAAAAGAAAGAAATTATGTGCTTGCTTGGGAAGGGCGAGGCCCTGAGTTCAATCCCTGGTACCGCAAATAAATAAATAAATAAATAAATAAATAAATAAATAAATCAAGAAAAAAAAAGTAATTATACTATAAGAATAGTATTAACAAATTAAGTTTTGTAAATGTTATTTTAGCAAGAATTTCATACATATAATACACAGCACCTAGACTAGTAAATGCTAAGAGAACCACACTAGGCAACAACTAATACAGGTGGAAAAATTAAACGACATATGAATTAGCCCGAATTAATGCAGTTTATGGTTCATCTTTTTGGAAATAGCCAAACTGTTTACTGCCAGTGATTGGTTGAAAGAAGGCACTATGACTGGCTAAGAAAAACCTGTCTGGAAAGGCTGGCCAAGGAGCTCATTGGATTAAAGCACCTGTAAGCAGGCGCAGGGGCCAGAGGTTCCAGGGGTTCGGTCCCTGGCCTTCCGTGAGGGACCCGCCCCCGGGGCGCACTGAGACAGCAATTGAGACTGGGCATGGTGGTACACACCTGTAATCCCAGCTCCTGGGAGGCTGTAAACAGGCAGATCACTATGAGTCTGATCTAGTAGTGAGACCCTGAACACCCTGTAGACCCTTCCCTAAAAATACAAAAAAAAAAAAAAAAGATTATGTGTTATGAGATTATGCTTTCATATTTGACTGTATATGAAAGCATAATCTTTTTATATGGGCTACTGAGCACTACTCAAAGATGTAGCTTTTTAATCTTCTTTTCTCTATAGGCCAAATTTAATTTGACACAAATATTTTCTTCCATTCTATTATTGGATGCTTCTCCTTGACCTCTGCTTTTTCCTTCAGTCTATAAGAACTTCCTAATGCATTTCAGAAAAAATCCAACTATTACTACCTTGTTCTCCATCAATTCTCTGTCATTTCTAAGAAACTTTGAAAACCAATGTCATGGAACATCTGTGTGTTCTATTTTATGAGTTTTTAACATTTTCTATTCTTGTTCTAAGTCATTAATATATTTTGAATTTATTTTAATGTACATTGCAAGATAAGAAATCAATTTCATTCTTCTTCAAAGTACAGCAAGTTTTGCAGCATTACTTAGTGAAGAGACTGGCCATAATCAGCTGTGTATTCATTGTTATCTTATAAAAAAATCAGTTATCATTTTTTTAAAAAAAGGAAAAAAGCACAGAGTTGAGAAAACTAGTAGGTGAAGCCTGGGGACAAGTGATCTTCCAGGAGCAGGCCAGGCAAGGTCAGGTCTCCAAGAGGAGTGAGAAGAGAAGTGGAGCCCAGCAGGGACAGGCAGGCAATGTGGAGTAGCACTTCCAAAGGGCCCCTTTACTTAATGAGTGAAGACCAGGCCAGCCCCAGAGTAGAGTATTGAATGCACCTGCTGGGGTGGAGACAGTTGCCTTACAGATGTTTTCTCTCTGTTCAGATTTGAGACATTGTGCTAGAGTGTTGCACTCAGGAAGGGAAAGAATGTGCTTAGAGAAAAGGCCTAGAATGACTAAAGGCACCGTGGTCGTGTTAGTTGGGGCAGAGTACCAGGGGTGAGAAACAGAGCCTGAAATCAGCAGAGCAGGAAATAGGAAAGATGAAAGAGCCTTTTTCTGAGAGTCTGTTGTCTCCCCTGGGCGTTGGGGTAGATTCTTGCCGGGTATTTCATCTCATTGAATCTCCATATTGGCTCAGTGCTGACCCCAACCCCAACTACAGAATTGCTGTGTCTCTAGGTGGAGAAACTGTAGTTCACACATCAGGTGGTTGTCAATGATGAAACAATGGCATATTTTTCCCAAGAGGGAGGTTTCAGAAGCTTTTCCCTGTAGTACCAGGTTAGTGATCTGACACGATTGGTTCAAGGTCTTGTAATGACCCTATAGTAGCTCAGGAACAGCCATAGAAATGGGGAAATTAGGGACCCACAGAAATACATTGAGGATGTGCTGTGTTAAATTTCCCAGTACTACTGAAACAAAGCACACAACAGCGTCATCACACAGGGCCAGGGGGTGGCCAGACACAACAGAAACATTCCCTTACGGTTCTGGAGGCTAGAAATCTAAACCTGAGATGTCAGCAAGATCATGCACTCTCTAACAGTTTGGCAGGAGGCGGGGGGGTGGGGGGTGGGATGCTTCTTGCTTCTCCCTGTCCTGAGGGCTCCTGGCTCCTTGCTAGGTCAGTGTCACACCAGTCTCTGTCTCTGTCTTCACACAGAGTTTTCCACTCTGACTCTACCTATAAATTTCCATTTCCTTTCTCTAATCAAAACATGAGTTCTTGGATTTGTGTTTCACTCCAAGTCCAGAACCATTTCAGCAGAAATCTGAATTGGACTGTAGCTGGAAAGACGTATTCAGGAATTAGGTCACATTTGAGGTTCTGGCTGGAGATGAATTCTCAAGGGACACTATTGACACTGTGACATTGAGTGCTCAGGAACTGGAGGAGAGGGCTTTTGCATGGGCCTGTAAGTAAAGGACAGTCCCATGGCAGGGTTGACCTCAAGAGCTCACTGCATTCTGGTTCCTTCCATCAGTCCTAACTCTCTCTGTCTCTCTGTCTCTGTCTCTGTCTCTCTCTGTCTCTGTCTCTCTCT